CGTTAAGAAGACTGAGAAACTGAATGATTTCAATGTGTCTTTGTTTTTGATCCTTTGATTCAGTGTAAATAATTTTTGTAAAAGACTGAAAGAAATAATAATACTGTGAAACAAAGTGTCATTCTGGTTTGTCTGTCTCTTTGCCTGTCTTTCCTTTCATTTTTCTTTTCTTTGCTCATCTTATTTCTTCTTCTACTTCACATGCTCATGCTCTTAGTCAATAGTTCTGTGACAATATATATATTGAGGGTTCAGCCTCCTGATGAGTCGGTGAAACTCCGACGAAACAGTTTGTCACAGCCACTCGTTTGTTGTCCGCTTCTCTCTCTCTGCCTACGGTTTACCGGGCAGTTCTGTTTGTGACGATATATATATATCGGTGAAACTCCGACGAAACAGTTTGTCACAGCCCCTCGTTTGTTGTCCTCTTCTCTCTCTCTGCCTACGGTTTACCGGGCAGTTCTGTTGGTCAGCCTCCTGATGAGTCGGTGAAACTCCGACGAAACAGTTTGTCACAGCCCCTCGTTTGTTGTCCTCTTCTCCCTCTCTGCCTACGGTTTACCGGGCAGTTCTATTTGACGATATATATATCTGTTTGTGACGATATATATATTGTGACGATATATATAGTGATGTGACAATATATATATATTGTTTAGTATCTATCCAGGCTATTGATGAGCCCATGGACTATTTGGAATGGAAAGTGTTGGAGTGAGCCTGTGTGATATACTGTGTAGTAACTAACCAGGCTACTGATGAGCCTATCTTGGACTATTTGGAATGGAAAAGTGTTGGAGTGAGCCTGTGTGATATAATCTGTGTAGTATCTAACCAGGCTATTGATGAGCCTATCTTGGACTATTTGGAATGGGAAAGTGTTGGAGTGAGCCTGTGTGATTGGGTTTGAATATTGTCATCTGACCTCATTGCAGTTGAAGTTCTTGACTTCTTCCTGTCCCTGTGAGGGTTTAGGACTCTGCTGGATGTCCCTGTAAGTGTGCGGACACTGAAGGCTGTCTCTGTGAGTGTGAGGACTCTGAGGGAACACTTCTTTCTCTCTTCACTCTTTCCCCCTCGGCATGTTCAGTCCATTTGATGAAGATGTCAATCTGGTGTCAAGAGGTGCTGTATGTTTCACTCTAGGACTTTCCTGGACGTATCTGAGTGCAAGTACGGGTAGGTTTGGTGCTGAAAATGCTGGTGCGAGGATGGCCTTATTGTATGTATCAAGTTTTCATGTCCACTTTGCTGTCCAGCTACTCTTGCTTCATTTTCTTCAATTGCCTTTGATGTGCATGATCTACAATTGTACGGTTGAGAAATTGCTCGCCATTCCCATAGATCCTCGTTGTTATGTTGGTGAGTTGGCGCATGAGTGGCAGATCCGTGTTGTCTCTACCACCTATCCAACAGTGCACTCCACCTATCCAACAGTGCACTCCACCTATCCAACAGTGCACTTTTCTCATGCAAGCTGTTGATGTCCTCTCTGATTCGATTTTGATCCAGGAAGAATCAGGGAAACTTGTGCTAGAGAATGAAAAGTTCAATATCTGGAAGGAGTTGGAATCACTTGTTGATATGTTTGCTGTGAAGTGTGAGCGCAAAGGTCTCGAGATATCGCTTGAGCTGGCAGGTGATTTCAATGTTTCCCTCATTGATTGACCATCCTGTTTGGTGCAAGCACTGACATGCATTCGATTGAAAGTCAGTGAGAATGTTAAACTCATGACAGCCGAAAATAGCAAATCACTTTTTCTTTTTTTTTCTTTTTTTATTATTATGAGATGATGCTCCAATCTATTGGTGGGGAGCAACACGGCTGGGAACCGGGCCCAGCATCCCTTATCAGAAAACAAAAAATGAGCTACCGGGGCCATTACCCGGCTTCGGCTTAATCACCCCCAATAAGAAAGAGAGAAGAGTTACATCCATGATCAACAGTACATGTATGTTGCTCTTCAGTCCCACTTCTACTTCGGGCTTCTCCCCTGTCAACGCCTCATCAGTGCATGCTCTGGGTCTGATGATCGCTGACGTAGTCACTTTGCAGATGCCAGCAGAGTGTCCATCCTACTACCGCTTCAAGTCGAGCTATGAAGGATGGCGCTGCCATTCTTCAAATTCCTGGAGGTCGTCAGCAACGCAATCACAATGGTGGCAGGTAAGTCCAGGTAAGCTTCCGCTCGAACCCCTCATCAGTCCCACAGATCAGGTCCTCCTCCCCTCACCCAGACGCATCACCCAGATCTATGGCTATGGTGGCACCAGCATGTCCTCCAACAAGGCTGGTGCCCTCAAGCAACATCTGCCGCCAGCACCTCTACATCACCAGCCTCGCAAACAGCACTGGGCCGCGAGCAAGCGCAAGACAGAAGGAGCATCCCCTCGCCCTGGTCTTCTTTTTATAGCATTGACTGGCATTGACCAGCCTTCCACTGGACCATGTCAATGGCCAAGAATTTCCTGAAATCGACGGACTGGATGTAATGCTGCCTCAGATGTCTCGTCCTGTTGGAACTGGAATCTTCCGGAATCCTGCAGACAACTGCAAGGAAAATGAACAATAGCGAGATGACAGAATCCAGATAACACGACTACATTGAAAGCCAGAAAGTCTCACAGTGTCCAGAAAGCAGTATTGCACCATTGTTATGCCAATGGAGATTTGAAACACTGAAACCGAATGTCAATGAGAGCTTACTCTCGTCATCACCAACATCAGAGTCCAGGCCCTTCTCCCTACTTGGCGCTCGGCGCCCAGACTACTCCCCACACAGCTACTATCTGCCTATGAATTGACAATGCAACTGTTGATGTCAGCAGCCACCGGAAAACATGAAGATGTCGCCCAATGCAGACCATCGCCAATACCAGGTATGAACCCTCACATCATCATCCTCATCTCTATCTCTCTCTCTCCCTCGTCGTTCTCCCTTGTCTTCCCTCTACACCCGAAGACCACCACTGCGCCCTGCTGTATGTCCAAGCCCACCCAGCTATGGAAGCTGGGCTATGGCGCTGCCCTCAGCTGCGCCCTTCTTCCCACACGGCCGCACGTGCACAGCACCTTGCCCCAGCGCTAGCAGCAGCACGCGAGCGTCCAATCCAGCAGCGCTGCTGCAAACTGGCAAGCGCCCGAATGAGCCGCCAGGCAGCGAACTCTTTCCTATATGGAAAGAGGCTGGCCTGGCCTGGCTGGGCTGGGCCTGTGCCCAGAAGCTTCTGGTAGGCCCCAGGACGTTGGGCCTCTGCTGCTGGGCCTCATTCAGTTACGCCTTCCAACTGTCTGTGTATGTTGCTGCGTATGTGGCCCAGGGCCTGCATTTCAGAAAAGGCCTAGAGGGCCATGGAAAGTATTTTGCTGCTCGGGTCCTGGGTTCCCTCAACCAACTGACGCGACGCAACTTCCTGAACCCCAAATATGAAATTGGCAGCATTGGGCCCCTCGTGATTTGTTAGGCCCGCCTTCACTTAGGGCGGGCTCACTTGCATGCGGGGTCCCTTAGGCCTGCCGAGGAGCCAATTCCTCGCATTCCCTCCTCCTTTACTTCAATAGTCCCCTGAGAAGTTCCTTAATCTGCAGGCAACTTTCCCTTGAGTGCTCTTTTGTAGCCTGCAATCTCTTGGGAAGCTGTTTGCTGGAGTTCTTCTCTGGTAAACCACCGGTCTTCACTGGGATCAGTATGGTGTCTGACACGGTACTGCATCCTTGGCTTGGGAGGTCGGCCTCTGCCGGGAGGTTTAGGCACTGACATCACCCGATGCTCCACAATATCGTCGATGTCGACTTCGCCATCCATGGTTGGGGCCAGCATTAATCGTCTGGAGAGAAACTGTGCAGTTTCTGCAAAGGTGCCAACTTTGAGGCGTGAAATACTGGGTGTGTGCGAAGGTGAGCAGGGATGCAAATAACATAGGAAAGTTCATCTATCTGATCCCCCACTATGTCTAGGACCTCCCATGGACCGAAATACTGAGGCATTAATGTTCCAGAAATTCCTAACCTAGTTCAGATGATTTCACCCAGACTTTGTCCCCTACCTGAAAGTTAGAACGCCGTCTATGTTTGTTCTTAGATGCAATCATAGCATCCTGAGTCTTCTTGATTTGTTCAACGGCCTGTTGTAGCATCCGTTTGTATTTGACAACAAATTCTATGCTGCCAGGTGCTGCAGTTGACTGATTCTCAGGTAGTAGGAAGTCAAGGGCAGATCTGGGCTTCCAACCAAGATGCAGCTGGTTGGGAGTCATGCCGGTGGTGCTGTGCACAGCGTTGTTGTACAGGCTGGCGACGAGAGGTAATTTCTCGTCCCAGTCATCCTAGCTTGGCTTAATGTAATGGCGAAGCAGGTGCTGCACTACTCGGTTCACCTGTTCCTCCTGACCATTTAACTCAGGGTGATTCACTGATTCCCTGATGTCATTTGTAGTCGGGTGCCCATCTGTTGGGCCATACTCTACCATAGTTTGCTGGTGAAACGGAAGTCCCTATCACTAATGATGGACTTGGGCAACCCAAAGTCCCATACCCAGTTATCCAAAAACAGCTTGATAACATAGTCAGTTTTTGTTGTTTCCGGCATGACGATCAGTCTACTTGGTAAATCGGTACACTATGACGAAGATGTGTCTTTTACCGTTTTTACTGGTCACAAAAGTATCCATGAAGTCGATGGACACACTTTGACCAGGATCGTCAGTAATAGCCAAGGGCTTGATAATCCCAAGCTTGAGTCCTAGGTTTGTCCCGTTGGCAAACTTGGCAAGTCTCAACGTACTCCTTCGCATCTTGAATCGTAGAGGGCCACCAGAGTTTGTGCACTAGATTAGCTGAAGTCTTCTTATAGTCGAAATGACCAGTTTTATCATGACACTCGCCTAAAAACAAACTATGCAAAGACTCCCTATCTGGAATACACAATCTTTTATTCCCATCCTTCTCAAGGAACGACAAGTCATTGACCACCGTAAATTCGTCAGAAGTTAACTTTAATCTTTCGCTTCTGACTTACATATGATATCTAACATAACTGCATCTTCCCCATAGGCTTCAACCAAAGATCGAGTTACATCCTCATATATCCCAAACTCAGTCACTAGCGCGCCCGGATAGTCTGCCCTATGTGACTAGCGCTCTATAGAGGGCATAGAGCTCCCGCTCATACGTGGACTTCGCTAATTTTTGAGATGGCATCTTTTTGCTCATGTACTCGATGGGCCTTAACTTCTTCCCCTCCTTCCACGCAAGGACCGTGCCAATGTCTTATTCGCTGGCGTTAGTGGTCACCACAAAGGGTTGCTTAGGATCAGGCAGTTTAAGGACTTCGTAGTGCGTCAGGGCATACTTCAATTTCTTGAAGGCTGCCTCACGCTCTTCTGTCCACTCCCAAGGGGTGTCAAGGTGTGTGAGATCAGTTAATGGGGAGTCTATAGTGCTATAATTCTTCACAAACGGCCTATAGTAGCTTGTCATCCCCAAGAATGACCTCACCTCCGTCACAGACCGAGGTCTGGGCCAGTTACGTATGTTGGCCACCTTGGCATCATCCGGCCTCAAACCGTCCGCGGAAATCTCATGACCCAAATGCAAGATCTTGGTGCGACCAAACTCGCATTTCTCCAAGTTAACCTTGTATCGGTGCTGTCTTAGGAGACCTAGCATTGTTTTCATGTGCTCAGAGTGCTCCTCTATAGTCTTACTAAAGATAAGGATATCGTTGAGGTACACGGCGATAAACTTGTCTGAGTAAGCATGAAAGATCTGGTTCATTGTGTGATGGAATGTCCCAGGGGCATTGCATAGACCAAAGGGCATCACCACAAACTCGTACAGACCGTACTTGGTCTAGAATGCGATTTTGTGTTGATCCTCAGTTCTAATGGCAATTTGATGGTATCCGGACTTCAGATCTATCTTTGTGAAGTACCGGCATCCCTGCACTCTATGCAAGAGGTCGTCGATGCAGGGTAGGGGCTCCGCTTTCTTAACGGTGATGGCATTGAGGCCCCTATAGTCAATTCGCATCATTAAGGTACCCCCCTTCTTAGGAACGAATAGGACTGGTGCGCCATAAGGGGAGGTACTAGGCTGAATCCATCCGAGCTCTTTGAGTTGGCGGCAGAGCTCATCGAACTCCACAGGAGACATCCTATGGATTTGTCCTCTAGGTACTTCGCTACCGAGGACGACTTTTATTGCATGGACAACCTCCCTCTCTACCACACCACTGGGCTCCTCGAAAAGGTCTGGATACTGAGTAACGACTGCTTCTATTTTGGGGGGTGTTTTTACGGCCTCTCCTTTCTCAGAGACAAAGACTAGGTTCATGCCCTCCTCGTGATTCTGTTTATAATTGTTATAGAAAGAGGATGCACACATGTAGCCATAGTTTTTCACTAGAATGCTAGCTTTAAACTTTTGTAGTCTAAAGGTTCTTCCGTTAGGCAACTTGTGAATCATCACCTTCCTATCCCAACAAATTGAGGTTGAGCAACCTCGAGGTAGTACATGCCTAGTAGCATATCGAATGGCAGTTCGTCACTAACAAGGAACGAGATTTTGTGTCTCAGTTCCCCTCCTCTATAAGAGAAGGTGCAGACTACGTCCTTGACATAGTGTTGGACAACCATGTT